GGTTAGACGTAAAGCATTTCGTGGTGAAAGATGGGGGCAGGTCTAACATAGAATTTATCCAACACTCGGAGATCGGCATCATGTGTCTAGTGCGCGGAGAAACCATCGACACAGCATTTTCTCTCCTCAACTCTCTTCAATGATCGGCATGACGAGAAGAAAAAGAAGCCGTAAGAGAGGAGGAATAATAGGAGGAGGAAGAGGTAGAGGAAGAGGAAGAGGAAGAGGCATAGGGAGAAGGAGATACAAAAACTCGAAACAATTCCAAGGGCTTAGCTGGTAGTATGTCCCTTAGAAAGTCTACCACACAGCCCCTGACACCCTTTCCCATCGGTAGTTAATCGATAATATTAGGACCATGACTGGGTGTGAAGTCAGTCGCCTCGACCAGAAAAATGAGAGACCCTCATTTAACACCCTTATCACCTCGAGGCGCAAGGAACACTTGAGCTGCGCGACTTGACAAAACTAAGAGACCCCAGAAGTAATCACGGTGATTGTGGCTTGTTTGTTTGCTGAATGTGACGAATCACATAACAATACCGTCAGACAAGCAAGCCTTTGAGGTCCTTTCATCATGCTTAGACAGTTCGGACACTGCGTGTCCGTCTAGCGTGACTTGTTTTCCCAGGGGCACACTCAGCAGGAACTCCAAGTTCTATTAGGCGACGGGCTAGCCGAGTCTCATCCCACATTTGCCATGAATCTGAGCAATCAGGGCCTGGACGCGGACGCGCTAGAGTCGATAGTATTGCTTCCTTAGATTCACAAGACGCACCGAAGGCCCAAGTACTATGTGGATTCACCACATGGTAACATTAGAGGTGATTGTTTCTCGGCCGGAGGCCGGAGGACCAGAGTATCACTTGAAGATGTAGTAGATTTGCAAGTGGACGGGCTTTCTCTCACTGCTAGGGCTTCTGAATTGCAACGGCCATTTTGTCATACCCATTAGTCCTTCATAATCTCATGCACCGCACACACACTTCAAACACAAAAGCGAGTCCACTGCACACCACACTGGCTACAGGATGTGTAATTTCTCGGCCAGATGCCATAGCTGGTGAGGCCCACCGCGCTTAGAATTGCCTGTCTCCTTTTCAGCTCCCGCTTGGTGACGGTTCGAGCGAGACCGCCACAACCATCAGACAAATCACGCTGCAAGTTCAAGGTTTCGTAAAACATATCATGCGACGCCATACGCGTGATAGGAAAACTTAATCCCCAGGACTCGTGTTTAGGGTAAGGGTCTCCCAATAATATGCCCATCTCGATGTGATGGGAACTAGCAGGATGAGGTAGATGGGACTGTCAGTCTCTCACGTCGGAGATCCTTTCGCACGGGAACTCTGGCTGACGCGTTAATACTGGAGCCAGCTGAAGGGACTGGCGCACGCAGAAGCCCATGGCTGCCACATGGGCCGTTTGAACATGACACCGATTGGACGGACGTCTGTTGCCGCTCGGCTCGAGTCGACTTGTGCGGCCCCTCCGAAAAGGAGGTGGAATTGGGCGGAAGCTGAAGAGGGCAGTGGGCGAAGCATTAATAACGCGGCAAGGACAAGCGAGGGGCGACAGGGGAGGAACTGAAGAATTCCGAGGGTGGAGGCGGGGTTTTGCACGGGCAAGGAGGCCCGGCCCGCATACAACAAACCATGGGGTAAATCCAGCCGAGGAGCCCTAATCCCGCCACACCAAGTTCCTTGCATCCACTCCGTTCCTCAGCTTCCACCAGCTGGAAGATCACAGCTGAGAAACAATGCTCAGACCAGAGCAGCAGGAAATGTGTTCAGCTGAAAGAAAGAATATGACTCTGTTCACTCACATCAGCGAAACCGTAATCACTTCAAAATGTATAAAGGACGCAACAAATCCTCCTACATGCCAGTAGACTCAGCAGCGAGCATTCCATTCTTCTCCACGGTTTTCCATCATCTTTCTGCAATTCACCAAGACTTGTGCCTTTTTTGATCCTTCGACCACAATCTTCATCTCTTCCTTTCCTTACACGACACAAATCTTTTTGTAGTCATTTCTTTCGAACTCATTCTCATTGACGCCATGGCCCCCGCTATTTTGAACGAACCAGAGGTCGCTATTACTCTTCTTCCTGTCACCAAGGAGCTTAATGGGGCCACCAAGTCAGCCAATGGTGTTGACAGCCTGACTACGGCCCTGCACAAATCCAGAGGCAATGGCGCCGTCAAGGCGCCCGCCAACGGCCATTACAACGGCAAAGCAGATGGTTTCAGCGACGAATTGGCCGTCGCCAAACCAATCTGCTTTTTCCCCACTGAGGAGGGAAGCTCAGATGTGCTGAGGGTCTTGGACTACAACCCCGCAATCCTGAATGATGCGGCCGTCATTGAGTGGATCGCAGGCCAGCTTCATAAGTCCAATATTGTCAACAGTCACCAGCTCCACAAGCTGGAGGTTCATCATGTGGAGACAGAGCATGTGCAGGATGCCGAATACATGCAAGATATCCTCGAGCTCAAGCGGACAAAGCACACCTCCGACGTGAGTTATATTAAACTCCGGACCAGTATGACCAAGCATCTTCGCAAGGCCCAGGCCGACTCGGAGGGCCTCATGGTGACCATCGCCAAGCTGTCCGACGAGCTAAGTCTGGCGCAACGGGCCGAGGCCCTGGCCAAAGCCGACAGCAAGGCGGCGCACGCGCTCCACCAGCAGCTTAAGGCAGAAATTGAGACCGTGCGCCACGCGTTGACCCTCGCCCGTGAGCAGCTGATCAAGCTGGTCAAGGAGCGGGATAATGCGGTGCTGGAGTCCGACAAAGCGGAAGGACTCCTCAATATCCGGGATGCAGCGGTTGCGCGGCTCGAGGGCGAGGTGGAGCGGCTGGTGAGCCAGGTCGATTCCTTGCGAGTGAAACTCTCCGATGCTATCAAGGCCAGAAATGCGGCAGCGCTCGACGAGCTCAAGACGCGTCAGCAACTGACGCGCGAGCAAGACACTTGCTCGACCTTAAGAACGAGGGTCGCGGAGTTGGAACACAAGCACGAGGCCAAGGCGGAATTCATCAGGGGTCTGGAGGCTACAATCCACGAGCTCAGAGCCCAGCTCACCCACGCCAGGACGGAGGTGAAGGAGGCATTGGAGGATAAGGAGGGCCTCAAGACCAAATCCCGCGCGCTGGAGGATCAAATCCGAGACGCTGTGGAGGCGGCAAGTGCCGCCAATGACACCTTAGACGTGGCCAAGAAGCAGCTCGAGGAGGCTATTTCGACTCGAGAGCACGCGGAGGAGCAACGCACTGCGGCTGAAATTGCCTGGACTCGCGCCGAGCTGGAGAAGCAGGACGCACAAAGCAAGCACCGAGCCATCCGGGAGCAGTTTCTGAAGCTCGAGGCGGATTACGCGCAAGAGCAGCGCGAGAAGGCGACTCTGAAGGAGAAGCTTTCCAAGGCGGAACAACGCGCGGAGACAGCTTGCCATTTCACGCAGGAGGCCATCGAATGGGGTCAAGCCCTCAATCTTACCAACCATGAACTGTTTGAGCAGTACAAGAAATCCTATGATGAGAAGGTTCAGGCAATTGAGCTGCGGTTTGCGGAAGGACGTGAGAGAGCTGACTGGCAGGAACAAGCCCGCTTGGCCCAGGCTAAGGTTCGGGAGCTGACCGAGGCCTTCTTCAGTGTCTCGAAGCAGAAGGACCGTGCTCAGAACATCTTGGATGAGTTCCAGAAACAATACAATCAGCTCAAGGAGGGACACCTCCACGAGCAGCTGGGATCCCAAAACAAAATTGACCATCTCCAGAAGGAGCGAATGAGTTGGGAGACGGTGAGATCGAAGCTGAACAGCGAGATCGATATGGCCAAGATCCAACTTGAACAAGCGGAGGCGGCGAAGATCCAGGCCGAGGTGGCGCGGCAGAAGGCAGAGGCGGAGTGGGCGGAGGAGGCGAGGCAGCATGAGAAGGAGTTGGAGGAAGCGAAGGCGCGCAATCAGAGAATGGCGAGCGGGTGGGAAGAGATCAACCGCGGCAACAAGACCCGTATCGACGAGCTCACGAAGAAGACGGAAGAGAAAGACGCGAGAATCACGGAGCTCAAGAAGGACATTGCCGACATCCAGAAAGTCTTGAGCCACGGCCACAGCTTCGGGAAGATCGCGATTCACGACATCTTCCTGGGCGGCCACCGAGTGCACGACGAGAAGATCTACCAGACCATCGGGGGGCACTATGGATCAGTGGAGAAACTTCCCCTGGTGCGATGCTTCCCGGATGAGATGGACAAGAAGAAGAAGTTGGCGGTGGTGTACACTGTCAAGGGAGAAGAAATTGCTCGGACGGTGGAGGTTGGAGTGAACGAAGGATTGACGTTCCCGGGCAGCAGCACTGCTACGGCTCCTCCTGCTCCTGCCACCAAGTCCACTCCTGCTACTCCTGCTCCTGCCACCCCGACTGCGCCTGCCAGCACTACTGCCACCGCCAGTCCCCCCACTAAGGCCACCCCCGCTGCCGCCGCCCCGACGACTACTCCTCCTACCGCTTGAAGGTTCCACCTCCAGGACTGTCACTCTCCCTCATTACTATCACTCACTGGCAACCGCCTTTTTCCCTTATGTGGCTGATGCGTTTCTGTATTCCATTTCGCGCCTTCCTTAATTGCAATCATTCCTTGCTTTTTCTCTTCCATGATTATGTTTGTGTCCGATTGATGTGCTTAATGGTTCCCACTCGTTAATTAAGTCAATGTATCTTTTATCTGGTGAACGGATTTGACCTAAATTCAAAACATATGTTGATGTCTTATATGAATACTACCGTAGGAACAATCCGAATCAGCATCTGGCCAGAGGGGATCTCAGCCTTTTTGCAAGCTATTTCAATCTTATTCTTAGATCAATGTAAATAGATGTAGATCAGCAGCAGCAACGACAGTACCTCCGGCTAGAGACGTAAAGTCGTCCATCTTGGATGTGAACCAGCAAGTCTAAACATGTAGTGCACCACCAACCACTGTCGATACTCACGCAAACGGCTGATTCGACAGCTGCAACGACGACCCCCCATCCACCACCAAAGTATGGCCATTGACGTAGCTCGCCGCCGGCGACGCCAGGAACCACACCGCGTCCGCTACCTCCTCCGGACCCGCCAGCCGTCGCATGGGCAAGTCCCCCAGCATCGCCGCCTTGACGGCGGGCGCCTGGTCCAAGAACTGCTCCATCATTGGTCCGCCACGGTGTTGATTCGGATCCCGTTGCCTGCGTTTTCACGAGCTAGATCCGGTTCATTGGAGTCAGCAATGCGGAAATACCTGGAAATGATAGATGGAGGGAGCTTACCGGCCGTTTGAACTAATCCTTTCACCGCGTGCTTAGCGGCCACGTAATTTCCCACACCTAAAAATGCCCCTTCCGCAGCGAGCGAGGTGAGAATGACGATAGAGCCGCGAGTTGGCCTTCTCTGACTTCTTGGGGTAATCAACTCGATCGGTTCCTGGCTGGTCATGGCGCGGAGCACCTTGCGGACAACCAGAAAGCACCCATCAAGTAGACTGCTTCCACCCTCGAACAATGTCGCTATATATATGATGCTGCTCTTATCCGTCACCATGACGCCTCGTGTACTACCCTTCAGCTGGCCGGCTCGCTGTTTCTGCATGGACACGATTAGCTTCGATATCATAAGATGCTTGCGGATGGATCCCAGCCGCATGTCGTAGGTGATTTGCCTCCTTATCCTTGGGACTATAGCGCTCCCACTCTGTGGACCGAGCCTCGTGCCAGTACCGAGTTCCGCCACCGCAAATATCCACGGCACGATCTCCTCGGATCCCAATTGTTGGGGGGGAGCACCGCATGAGTGACGCGGCGAAACGTATTGAATCTCAATGGGACCGAATGGCTCACGCATCACTACTGTCTGAGCCCGTCGGTGGTCTTCCCTGCCGCAGCATATATCGCAATGGCAGTGGAGGCGATGTGCCAGGTTGCAGGTCTGCAGCTGGAAGATTGTCCTGGAGTGGAGCTTCGCGATTTCAACTTCATCAAGGCTCTTGACATGGACGCGGGGAGAAAGTCAATGGTGGAGATCTTCACCGGGATACAATCGATGATCATTTTCAGCGTGACTAGCTCCGAAAAATGGTGGAAATTTCGTGTGCTCTCGGTTGACAGTGATTCCCAGGCGACCATACATATGAACGCGGCCGTGCGCCTAGCAGAAACAACCTCGCCGCGGATTAGTCGAACCATCAAGCTTGATAGATCAACCATGCAGCAAGATGCGGTCCGTGTCTGGTACGACAAGTTCACCCGAGAAGGGCTCAACTGGGGTCCCAGGTTCGCGGTCATGGAGGAGGTCTTCCGCGACCGTGCGCGTGCGGCGCACGTAGCGGCGGCCACCACACACCTTCAGCGTGGTGAACCCTTCGGTCGATACATCGCACATCCAATCTCCATCGATGCAATGCTGCAGACGGCCTACGTTGCAACCACTGCCGGCTGGGTGAGTAAGCTCCGAGCGACGGTCCCCGTTGCGATGGATTCAGTCTACGTAGCGCCTCCGTCGGGCCTCTACATGGATACCGACAGACCATGGTGCATTGACACCAAGTCAGAGAGTGTGGGATTTGGCACGATGAAAATTGATGCAGAGCTGTTCGACTCGTCTGGCCAAGTCTTGGTTAGAATGAGCCAAGCTCGTTGTGTTGCGTACCAAGGGAACAAACATACGGAAACCCCTGAGCATCGCAATCCTCTCGTGCGAGCGGCATGGAAGCCCGCTCTCTCTGGTCTTGACGAGAACCTGGACTGATTCATACAGAGCTGCAGGTCTCGAGAATCGGCTGATGAGAGCGTGCTGCGCCTGGCTGGTGCACTGAATTTGGCCTGTCACCAGCGGTGTAACAGCAACATCCTCGAACTCGGCAGTCAAAGCCAAATAGCGGAAGCTGTCCGTGGGCTCCTACGTGTTGGCTCCTCGTTCAGAAGGTATGACACCTACTATCGTGGGTTCCTTGCAGACTCTGATCTGGTTGGTAAGGAGGTTTTTTCAGTAACTGCAGAAGAGCAGAACTCGGTGTGTTCAGCGAGGATCCCCCCAGACAAGAAGTTTGATATAATCCTAGTCCCCTCGGTATGTTTAACTACTGCGTCGCGAGTTTGACTTGATGCTGAAAGGTGATAGGTTGATTACTGGACGCCGGCCCTTTGCAGTAGGCTCACACCGGGAGCAACCGTCATCACGGTAGGGGATGCACCAAGTGTCATCAAAGGAACTGCTCCCTCTCTTGTGACAGTCGCGGGTACAAGCGGCCTTGCGAGGAAGCCAAAGGCGGATAAACCCCCGATAATCGTGGTAAGTTCTCTCTCGACTGCCGCCAAGCACGTCCGGTATGTAACAAAGTTACAGGTGACCCGATATGACAAGGCTACACCCCTGGACCTACAGCTTCAAAAGACCCTACAAGAACATTTCAGATCCGTCGTCAACATCGTTGGCTTGTCCCAGGTCAGCCCCGCGACCGTGCCGGACCGATCATTCGTTGTATCCACCTTAGAGCAGCAGCAGCCTCTGCTGACCACGATCAACGAGCATGAACTGGCACAGCTCCAGAGTATAACCGATCGCGTAGCGAAGATCGTGTGGATTGTCCACGGCGGCTTCATTGGGGGAGAAAAGCCCGACTTTGCGCCCGTTCTGGGACTCTCGCGTGCGCTCATGCTCGAACAGCCTTCACTCCAATTCGCGGTTCTCGACGTGGACGACGAGAGATCATCAGCCTCATCTGCTGCTGCCGCTGATACTCTTCGGAACATTGTCCACGTGCTGGACCGACTGATCCACGACCCAGAGCCAGACTTCGAATTCGCGCAACGGAACGGCGTCCTCCATCTTTCTCGCTGGGAAGCAGACGAGCGTCTTAACGAGACCTTTCCGTCTCAAACAGAACAGGGAAACCGTTGATCTTCCTCTCGCAACTGCTCGACGTTGCAAATTCGGTATCAAGGACCCGGGGCAGATAGATTCGATCCACTTTGTGCAGGAGGAGCATCATCCAACGGCCTTGCAGCCGGACGATGTGAAAATCAGCGTGAAAAGCGTCGGTATGAACGCCAAGGTAGGTACCGCTCTTATAAGAACTTTTCAAAAGAGGGGTCGGTAACGAGAAACATAGGATCTATACGCTATCAGTGATGCCTCATGCTCGTGCGAATGTGCCGGTGTTGTGACGGCGGCGGGCGACAATGTTTCCGAGTTCAAGGCTGGGGATCGTGTCGTTGCAATGGCCCCCGGCCATTTTGCAACCGTCGAGCGCTTTCCACACTGGGCGGTGTCGAAATTGCGCGACGAGGAGGATTTCACGGTACGTAAAGTGTTTTTGCGTCCCTTTAACTACACAAGCAGAAGGCTCATGCATCATGCGCAGACGACCTCCACTATTCCAATTGTTTTCTCAACGGTCATTTATGCACTGAAGCATCGGGCGAATCTGCAGCCAGGGGAGGTAAGCTTTTGAAGCTTCTCACTCGCATGATCTGGGGCTTACTCGGTCTAAGACTGTTCTCATTCATTCCGCTGCCGGAGGAGTTGGTCTTGCGGCTATCCAATATGCGAAGCATCTCGGAGCAAAGGTACGATCGATAGAGACTCAGTAATAATTACTTTAGGTTATTCGTACTGACTCACTCGATAGATTTTCGCCACGGTCGGGACTGAATCTAAGAAGTGGTTTTTGGTTGAGAAGTACGGTCTGGACCCCGCGCATATTTTCAGCTCGCGAAACTCCTCCTTCCTGCCTGCCATCATGGAAGCGACGTCTGGACAGGGAGTGGACGTGGTCTTGAACTCTCTCACCGGGGATCTCCTGCGCAGCAGCTTCGAAGCCTGTGCCGACTTTGGCCGCTTCGTCGAAATCGGAAAACGTGACATCCTCGACCATGGGATCCTGGACATGTCCACGTTTGGCCGCAACGTCTCCTTCATGGCCTTCGACCTGTCCAACCTCTATCTCCCCACTAAGCCCACCCATCATCAACTCTGGAAAGTCCTCTTGACGGAGAGTCTGGATTTCGTGCGATCCAAGATCTGCGAGCCTTGCTTCCCAATCAAGACCTTCGATGCGTCGGATATCACCGATGCGTTCAGGCACTTCTCGCTGGGCACGCGACTGGGAAAGGTGACCGTATCGTTCCAAGACCCGAACACCAAGATCAAGGTGATTCCAACCAAATACGAAACAGCCTTCAGTGCCCACAAGTGCTATCTCATGATCGGGTGCCTGGGCGGGCTCGGTCGCAGTCTGTCCAAGTGGATGATATCGAGCGGGGCCCGCCGGTTCATCTTCATGGGTCGATCCGGCACCGATAAGCCCGAGGCACAGGGCATGGTCGACGATCTCCGGGCTCAAGGCGCCCACGTCACCGTGATCCGGGGCGATGTGTGCCGGTACGAGGATGTGGAACGCGCCGTCGCCGCGGCAGCGGATTATCCCATCGGGGGCGTCATCCAGGACTCCATGGCGCTCAGCGAGGCTCTCTGGAGCGAAATGTCGCACCGCGCATGGCATACGACCCTGGGGCCCAAAGTGCGGGGCACCTGGAATCTGCACCGTGCGCTGTCATACCAGCCCCCCTCCGAGCTGGACTTCTTCGTCATGACCTCCTCCATCTCAGGCACGGTGGGCACGGCGACCGAAAGCAACTACTGCGCGGCCAATGCCTTTCTGGACGCGTTCGCGCGGTACCGCAACCGCCTCGGGCTGCCGGCCATCTCGATCGACTACGGCATGATCTCGGAAGTCGGGTACCTGCACGAACACCCGGACATCGAAGCCCTTATGCAGCGCAAGGGCATCCACCCCATTAAGGAAGATGAGCTTCTCCAGATCATGAACCTGGCGCTCGGGAATCAGGAGCCGTGCACGTGGGACGCCCGGTACGACCATCTGGCAGGTAGCCACCTCCTCACTGACGTCGAGTTCATCGGTCTGCACGAGCAGCGCGACCGCGGCTTCGAGGGCGACAACCATGTCTTCGCCGATCCTCGCGCGGCACTGTTCACCGCATCCTTTGCCCGCCGCCGCGCCGCGGCCGAGAGACAGCACAGCACCACCACCGCAGCGCAGCATCTCCCCGCGGACATCGCGCGTGCCGTGCTGCTGCGTCGCGACCAGCGGGATCCCGGGGCTCTTCTACCTGCCCTGCGCGCGGTGGTGTCGAAGAAGATATCCAAGAGTGGTAATATTTCAACAACATTGAAGAAGACTTAAATAGTTTTTTAGTATGACATTATGCCCACATCTCGAGAGACAAGTGCTATCGCGGTTAATTGACGCCCCGACCCCCACAAACAGCTCATTCAGTGTATTGGCACTCTTTTCCATTAGCTAATTAGGTGTGATGACATCGAGCTGAGTTAGTTGGATTCAGCCTCGGCGCTAACTCCAGGTCATCAGATATCCCTACAGGGGCACGGAGACGGAAGCACTCGACTTCTTAAATATGGCTGATTCTTTTCGGTGCAAGGAGTCAAGAATTCCCTTCGCATCTTCACAAATGTGGAGGAATCGCTTCGTTACTTCTCTCGTCCTTCAGGTCCGTATTTTCATCGGAGCTGTTTATTTCGTGGAGAGTAAAACGTGCCATTTTCTCATCAATCCATTGCAGGTGGATCTTTAGGTTATATGTAGTGTCCTGTACCATTTTATTATAGTTCTATAGGACCTGCTCGGAGACTTTAGAAGAATGCCTAGTGATTGGGCTTTCTTTTCTTGGTTTGCTGAGCTAGCAGCTACACATTTTACACCACACTACCTCTAGTGGCATGCAAAGTCTCGGACATGACATACGTTCAACTGGGCCGTCATTGCACTCGCGCCTACTTCTACGGTAAGCGCCTTGCGACATGATAGGGATCTCGTATACGAAATTGATTCCGGTTATTCTGTTTCAATCCTAACTGATTGTCAATCCATGTGAGCTTCACTCTGTGTATATATATCCTGTTCTTTTCTGATGAAAATCAATTCAATCGATCTTCCTTTATCATTACAGCTGCCACCGATTAAAATCTCAGCATATATTACCGTCCATTCGATCTAATTTTTGAGCCTACCAGTCGGAAGATCCAATATAACACGGAGTCGATACCCTCTTGACAAAACATCCTTCGAGACGAAGAGTCCTTGCTGGAAAAAATCATGCCGGGAAGGCGAAGACAAAGCAGATTCCAGCTTCTGGGACTCAAAGGCCCAAGGTCGGAAGATTTGTTTCCATATGAGCCACAAGGGTATATTATCCACGTATACTAGAGATAGGGCGGGATCTTTGAGTAAATCCTCATGGACCTCCCCGTAGCGATGAAGAAATTCATATTGAAAGACAAGTAATAAACTTAGCTAGTAGAAGCTCCCGCGTTCAGGATCATTTGAAAGATCCTGCAGTCTTGCTCTGCGTCTGCTGCAGTAGTCTTCACTGGAGTTCCCCGCAGCACCCAATTGTATAACTCTTTGAGCTGCAAGGTGTAGGGGTCTTCGTAAGTTCTGCGAAACGTGGTCTCGCGGTAGCCATCGTGATCTCTTTCACATATATGCAACGTAGTCGGAAGGCCCTTCACATAAGGGGTGTCAAATTGTATGCGGACGGATTTGGTTTGACTATAGATTTCGATATGAGCGTCGAAACGAGGAATCGAGTCTATTCCAGATTCGTAGCTCACTGCAAATCCAGGATACTGGAAAATTACACTATTGCTTTGATGTCAAGACTGGAACCACTTCAGATGGCGATTGGAATATTGACTCACTTCCAAAATGGGAAGCCCAGATTCGCTCCTAAGACTTTGGTGGGCATACCCAATACCTCGCGCATGGCAGATAAATCATGGCTCCCTAGGCCGCCAAGAATACGCCACATGGATGTGGTGGCCTCAGTCATGGGAACTCCACATTCTGACACCAAGCCTTGTCTGGTGAGCTCTGCAGCACGGGCGTTCTTTTCCTCGACAACCTCCGGTGGAATGTCCATGAACCTTTTCGGAAACGTCCCGGATTGAGAAACAAAAGCGTTGTTGGGGCCAATGATATCTATGAACATGTCAGTCTGGATTGAGCGGTAGTTCTTCAGAACAACTGACCTCGCACTCGAGCGAATAGAATTTCACCCATTCCCCCAATCTCCTTCACTCCGTCCACAAACGCTGCTGCGTGACGTCTCATATATCCAACCATCAACTTGCCCTGGGAAGCACGTTCAGCGGCTTTGATCCGGTCGATATCACGAATATTCAGCGCGAGGGGTTTCTCAACGAAAACGAACTTGTTGTGCTCCAACGCTAGAATGGCGTGGTCGGCATGGTATTCGTCACTGTTGATCACAAAGACAACATCTACACTGGGAGATGCGCATAGATCCTGGGGGTTTGTGGTGATAGACACCATGTCACCTGCAATCTTCGCTCTGCAATGCTCGAGTGCTTGTTCAGAAACATCGCATAAGTACGTGATGCGAAAGCAATCGGACAAGAAACTCAGCGTGGGGATATGGACAACCTGCGCGACCTCGCCGCAACCGATTAGCCCAACCCTGAGAACCGCTCCTGGTGCCATTTTCCGGGTCGTTGCTTTCAGTTGGGTTCATGCCTCCAACAAATAAAGCCCATTCGTCCATTGTTATATAGGCTGGACTCGCAATGAAGCCAAGCCTCGGGCCGTCTGGTTGCGAGTGCTGGCCGCAACCCATACCCGCTATTCCCCGTGAAGGTTTCGTCGCCCCCACCCAGTCTCCGCTCCAGACTAGTCTAATATTTAAGTCGGCCGAACCTCCCCGTTTCCCCAACACCCTTTCCCATGTACCTTGCGTTATTGGGTTGAATAAGTCAATCATTTGGCGTTGCACCACTAAAGTAGGATCCACAGCATGGCCTCGAGCACCTCTCACCGAGACTCTACGATTGCGCGTCAAACCGCCCAGGGCGCTGAACCACGACCCCGCAACATGACGCACCCTCGGAAGCGAGCAGTCACTGCGTGCGATCACTGCAGGACTCGAAAAATCAAGTGTACGAATGAAAGACCAGAATGCCGCTCATGTGTAAGGCTTGGAGCAAAGTGTTCCTATGATCAGAGAGAGAATCATTCATCGTGCGGACGCGCTAAAAGACACCGATGGCAGGACTTGATTAATGTGTATGCTCTAGATTTGACCCCGCGAGCCTGTTGATCCTCGAGAAGTTGAACGAAGTGCTTCGGAGACTAGACGAAAACTCTGATCTTCGGTTTCACCACGCGCCCGTATCCCATGGTGTGAAGGACAGTAACGACTGTGGCGGTCATGAAGCATTTGGAGCAGCGGCGCTAGAGGAGGGCCCGGAAGGCCAAGTTCCTCGAGCTCTCGATGGGCTGCATGTTCCATCATCATTTTCTTCTACTGATTCTGTACTCAATTGGCCTATCTTTGATGGCCAATTCGGCCCATGTCTTCTTGCCGAAGAGCTTTTGATTGCAGAGCACGCGCTATCGGTCGAGCCAGACAACCCCTTGAAAATACCCGCAGACTATGTCAGTCTGAAACGTGGTGGTACCTGTGATGATGATATACCAAATCTCGTCATCAGGTTCTTGCGTCTGGTTCACATCAAAAATCCCATCTTGGACTCCAAATCACTCAGACAGTTCGCCAGCAGCATCGCTGAACATGGGCTCGGCTGGGATTCATCGTCATGTTTAGTGGTGAGTTCAATCAGGGACAGCTCATGATGACATCTCAATCTGATGAATAAAGCTATTGGCATGTGCACTGGGTGCAATCGCAAGCCCATATGACGCAAGAACAGGACCTCTCGAACAGCACGCTCCAGATCCTCCTCACTTTGTCGATAGTGACCGGGTCGCAGCCGAAAACTACTATCGCCTTGCCCGTCGAAGGCTGGGTCTTTTAGATCGAAGTCTTGTCGCGGCCCAATGTTTTCTCTTATCTGGGATTTATCTCATGTACATTATTCGCCCCCTGGATGCCCAGTCCCACTTCCATCAAGCCGCGTCTATTTATGCTACTCGCGTAAAAGGCCAGGTTGCACTCCAGCGACGGGGAGGTGTTCACGGCCCGATGCTGGAACCAGCCAATCGCCGACTGGAACAGAGCTTGTACTGGACCTGTTTCAAATCGGAATGGTAAGGATCATCTAAACGTAACTGGAATATTACTAACATACTTGGCAATAATCAGTGAGATCCGTCTAGAGCTGGATCTCCAAGTATCAGAGCTTGCCACGCTTGCGTATCCCTATATGTTTCCTTCACCACCGTCTCCCGCGACTCCGGCAGAGGCCTCGCAAGAGCACAGTAGTCTGGCTCTGTCTACACCTCTCTCGAGCTCTTCGTTGCAACAGATGTGTCAGTCATCAACGTTTGGCACACTTCAGGAAGTGGAAGAGCAGTCCTGGTACTATTATCTCAGTGAGATAGCCCTCCGACGGATCGGAAATCGAGTGTCACATTACTTCTACAAAGAAGATTATGAGTCTTGGTCACGAATGAACGTTCGTGAGGCTGCGGCGATTGCCGAGGATTTGGAAATGCAACTGGACAACTGGTATGCAAACGATGCCTATGTTCTAAGTTAAATACTGCGTCATCCAAGGCACTCACCTACCTTTTGCTCATTTAGGGAGTTGACTGCCCCCACACAATATCGAGGGGGGGTTGCATGGGAAGAAAAGGATGAGCTTCGATGCATGATTCGTGGACGATATATCGATATCAAATGCCTTCTTTACAGACCATTTCTGTATTACGCGATACATCACCGGACTAGCGATTTGGAAAGCAATCAGATTATCGACACACTAGCTCAAAAGGCGCTCAAGAATATACTCGAACTAACTGCAACTGTGCCATTCTATCACCGAAACCATGGAACGTGGCTCTCGTGTAGAATGGTCAGCACGTGTGCCTTGCTCCTTCTCGGCGCCAGGAAAAGCGGGCTAATTCCAGCCGGCAACATTTTGCGGGATTCACACTGGGAAGGGGAATTTGGGCATTCTTTCCAAACATGTCTGGATATTTTGAAGTACTGGGAGTCCGAGAGCCCGGATATTGCCAAAGCGAGAGAGGTCATTGCGTCGCTTCAAGACCGATTCTAGAGAATTTATTGCGACTGCCAGGAGGTCCAGTCGGTATATTGGCGGTTTCAAGGTTCTATTTGGGTTTTCATCTATCCTGATCTTGAAAGTAAACAAGACCACCATCCTTCCGAATGGTATCCATCAATCTTAGCATCCTCAAAGTCTCGTCCAGAGGCATTGTTTCGTTTTCCAACCTGCCATTCGCGATATCCACGGCTACTGCATCTGCCTCGTAAAAGAATCCCGTAGTTCCTGCGGGGTGATTGAAACTAAAAGTCTGCGTTGCTGATTGCTTTGGATCCGCATTTGTCCGACATAGTCGGAATCCACTAGGACAGCTGGCGGCACCGCCAAAAATTGTAATGGTGCCTTCTGACCCCTCTATTCGTGCGAAGTCTTCAGGCGATTTAAAGCCAAGTGTCGAAGTGCAAATTGCAGTTGACCTCTGCTCTTCGTACCTTAAGATCACCACGTTTGATTCGTCAATCCCATCCACGATGTCGAGCATTGAAATGACTTGAGGATGAGGATGAGATTTTCCAAGTTTACCCTTGCCCATCACAAGAGACGCGTAGGTCAAGGAGTATATGCCTATGTCTAGTAGGGCGCCAGCTCCCTGGCCCGGATCTTTGAGTCGTGAACTGGCTGGAAGACCCGCCAGAGGAATGTCTAACCCAAAATCAACAAATAAACGGTGTACCTGGCCGATTGATTTTTTCACGTTCAGGTGCTCGTGTAGAGACCGCATGAGGGGGAAGAACCGGGTCCATACAGCTGCCGAAGAAGGGAAAAGAAAAGTTAGGGCTCAACAAGTGAGATATCGGTGAGATTTTGGATTTACCTTCCATGATGAAAACTCCCTTATCTCTTGCGGCATGGATTACATCCCGGGCTTCGTGTTCGTTGATGGCAAAAGGTTTCTCGCAAAGCACGGATTTCCCAGCGGTGATGGCATCGAGACAGTTCTGCTTGTGCACTGCATGAGGTGTCCCCACGTAGACGATGTCGACGTTTTCGTCATTGTATACGTTCTGATATCGGTCATAGATCCGTGGTCGGGGTGCTGATGAGTATGCCCAGACCTTCTGGACAAACATGGCTCCTTTTTCTTCTGAGGAGGATCCTAGGGCGGCGACGACATGTCTCACCGGTGCATTGATTCGGGGCGCAATGACATCGGTTACAAACATGGTTGAAATCCAACCAGTACCTGGCCCCGATCAGCATGGTTCATATTCCCTTGTTTTGGTTTTTTTTTTTTTTTTTTCATGAAAACATACCCAGGATCCCCCACCGCAGAGTCGGAACTTCGGTCATACTGTCTGGCATCTTTTCGAAGATGGAGTTGCCGGTGAAAGTAGTACGTTGAACAATCCGAGACGTTCAGTCTTATAATGTGAACGAGTGTCCTGGTTTGAAGATGTATGCACAGTCGTCTTCAAAGTTCTTTGCATAGTGGATGACAATGCATATGCCCGATACTCCCCGTCTCTGCCTGTGGGTCCGTCATTACAGGCGAGAGTCCGGTATTCCCCGCTTGTGGAACCTGAACAACAAGCCAACGTCTCGCCGGAAAAGTGATTGTAGAGGTTCCTTATTTTGAGTTCCTTACTTTGATTACACAAGCCTCCTTTCGTACCCAACAGGTAATCATGGTCACTTTCTCTTCTTGACCTCTGTTGGGTGGCGATCGCTCCGTAGAGTTGGTGAAACCTCTCGGTCGTGCCCCATGGGGAAGACCCCACAAGACATCAACTTCCAATTTCCCCGCCCATATAAAGCGAAATCCTCAATTCCTAGCTCGTCCGCGTATCCTAATTCAGATCTCACTTTCCCCTCTTTTCTTCCATTTGGTGCTACAATGTCGTCGGGCCTTTCTGAAACGCTCGAAGCGCACGTTAGGGCTGCGGCCGATGTGGGCGAGAGCGTATTCGCTGCACTTCCCAAGGACGGACGTCCCTGGTGGAAGAAACCACATTTGCTCCGACTCAACTTCATCCTGTTCAGTTGTATTCTGTTTTCCTCTGCCAATGGTTACGATGGCACAATGATGAACGGTCTCCAAGCCCTACCCCAGTGGCAAAAGTTTATGAATCACCCCAAAGGCGCCTGGCTTGGATTTATCAATTCTACTCAATCTGTTGGTGCCATGGTCGCTGTCTTTCCATCCGCATGGACGGTACAACATTTTGGCCGCAAAACTGGTGTTTATCTGGGATACTTGTTCTTGGCCGTCGGGGTCGCCCTTCAGACGGCAGCGCCCAATGAAGCTTGTTTCATTGTGGCCAGGTTTTTCCTCGGCCTGGCCAGCCAGTTCTACGCCAACTCGGCTTCCATTCTCATTACTGAAACCGCTTATCCCTCTCATCGCGGCATTTGCACTGCCCTGTACAACTGTGGGTGGTTTGTCGGAAGTATCATTGCAGCATGGGCTACATTCGGTATGTTATATCTCGCCCCTATATTTCAATTTCCTCGATTGACAGGACCCTGATCTGATATCTTTCAGGGACGCGCAATTGTGTGACCAGTTGGAGTTGGCGAATCCCTTCGCTCCTTCAAATTGCGATCCCAGTTATCGCCCTCCCTGGCTTCTTGATGTCGCCTGAAAGCCCCCGCTATCTCGTTTTCAAAGGCCAAATCGACGACGCCAAACAGGTCCTAATTAAATATCACAATGGAGGAGTCCGAAATGCACTGGTGGACCTCGAGTTGGAAGAAATGATGGTCATTTTGAGGGCGGAAAGAGAGGCCAAAGAGAACACCAGTTGGGCTGATATGTTCAGGAGCAAAGGCAATCGCCATCGGTCGCTCATCAGCATTACGCTAGGTGTTTTTTCTCAGTGGAACGGCGTGGGAGTTGTATCTTACTACTTTGTTCTGGTGCTCGAAGCGGCTGGTATCACTGACACAACTGACCAAACCCTCTTGAACGGCTGTATACAGGTAATCCAGACCCCCTCTATCTCGGGAACCGCACTCTAACGACAAATAGATATGGAATCTTCTTCTTGCCACTGGCGCTGCCTTCTCGGTTGATCGGCTGGGCCGGCGAAAGCTGTTTTTGGTCTCAGGGTTTGGCATGTTGGTCAGCTACATCTGTATTACAGGCCTCTCAGGATCCTTTGCAGAAACTGGCGCGAAAGATGCTGGCATCAGTGTCATTCCCTTCCTCTTTCTGTTCTACGGATTTTATGACATTGCATTGTAGGCTTGTCCCTCGATGCTCCAAGAATGACGGCTAACAAATTCCTGCACAGCACGCCGCTTTTCGTCTCCTACCCGGCCGAAATCTGGCCCTACAGTCTACGAGCCCAAGGAATTGCATCCGCACAGCTTTCCGCCCAGGTTGCTATATTTTTTAATATCTTTGTCAACCCTATCGCATTAGATGCCATTGGGTACGTCCCAAATGTAATACTGGAAATGAACTCTACTGACTTCGTGGAACTCAGCTGGAAATACTATATCGTTTTTGTAATCATTCTTATCATACTGATTCTCACGGTTTGGTTCTTCTACCCCGAAACGAAGGGTCACACTCTTGAGGAGATGGCCACCATTTTTGACGGGGCGGACGCTGCGACTCCGGCGCGGAGGGAGATCTTGGACCACATCGCCAGGAACAAGAGAACAGATGTCGACATGATCCACATCGAAGAAGCTGCATGAGTTGTTTCCTTGGATAATTTAATCCTCGATTTACTTGGAGTTGGTTGAAAACTTGCAGGCGAGGATGGTGGGGATGTCATCCAAATTTCGTCGATTTGTCTTTGGAAGGGATTCATTGGAAAGCTACCCGTAGGAATGTTCGTGCAAGCCATGGAAAAATACAGATTTTTCATCTTGAAGGATGCACTTGAGCACCTTAAGATTTGTGAATTCCAACCATGCACCATAATAATGAACCAAGTGCGCTGCAGTAGACGAGATCTACATCACATGGCGAGCTGGGCGAGTGACCCAATACCAATCACGCTGTATCGAAACATACTACGTATGAAGAAAAAAAACTGCTGGGCCAGCAAATATTACGGCCAGTTGGATGGTTCAGAAATAGGGCAATCTTAGCTGCGTCAGCAGGCTCCTGTCCGTCCTGTGGACCCTGACGGTGGGGACGCGGAGTAACGGAGAACAGGTCATATACCTATTTCCAGTCATTCTACTCTAACAGAAACTCTACTAAGGACTTTGCAAGAGATATATAGAGGGCTACTAACCCAGCGGAAGAAAAGCCTCTCCTCCCTTACACCTCGCCCTTCCTCTTGAACGCAAACACCAAAGGCATTTCCGCCATGGCGTCTCATAACCCCCCCACCGCCGACATTGAATCTATTATTTCCCAGCTTACACTCGACGAGAAGATATCGCTCCTTGCAGGAGCTGATTTCTGGACCACTCATTCAGTGCCAAGGCTAGGAGTTCCCGCGCTCAAACTGTCGGATGGCCCAAACGGAGCCAGGGGCGCCAATTTCAAAGGCTCTATGACGAGTGCATGTTTTCCGGCATCCGTCTCCCTGGCATCTACCTTCGACAGGGACCTGGCTGAAAAAGTGGGAAAATCCCTGGCCGAAGAGACAGTTACCAAGGGGGCCCACGTCTTACTTGGACCGACAGTCTGTCCGCACCGGGATCCTCGAGGGGGACGAAATTTTGAATCGTTCTCCGAAGACCCTTACCTTGCCGGAGTGTTAGCAAGTCACTATATTATCGGACTTCAACGGGAAGGCATTGCCGCTACGATTAAACACTATGCATGCAACGAGCAGGAAACACGTCGATTCACCATCAACGCTCAAGTCAGTCAACGAGCTCTGCGGGAGATATACCTGAAACCGTTCGAAATCGCAGTCAAGATGTCGGACCCCTGGGCCTTGATGACGAGTTTCAATCGAGTCAATGGAGAGCACGCTGACTCCAGCAAAAGCCTGTTTGATATTCTGCGGCAATGGGGCTTCAAAGGCCTGACAATGAGTGATTGGGGAGGTGTCAATTCCGTTGTGGGAGCGTTGAACGCGGGCCTCGACCTCGAAATGCCGGGTCCGCCCACCCAATATACCGCACAAAAGGTCTTAGATGCTATTGAGAGCGGCTTTGTTCTTGAAGAGACCTTAGACCGACGGGTAAAGGCACTTTTACAGCTCTTAGAAAAGACCGGAAAGTTTGCCAACCCAGGCATTCCTGAGGAGGTTGCAGTCGATCTGCCAGAGCATCGGCAGATTATCCGACAGGCAGGTGCCAATGGCATCGTCCTCCTCAAGAACGACAATAGTATCCTTCCAATAGAGAAGAGCGGACTTCAGTCGGTGGGGCTTCTGGGGTTGGCCAAACACTACCTTGGACACGGTGGTGGTTCGGCGCATGTCAACAGCCATCGAAAGATCACCCCATACGACGCGCTCGAGGAAGCCCTGGGCAGTTCGGTTCAGCTCAGGTATGCTGAAGGTGCGAAAATGAACCGCAATCTTCCCTCGTTCTCGGAAAACGTGGTCAATGAGGACGGTCATCCCGGCTTCAACTTGCAGGTGTGGAGATTGTCCGATGTGGATGGGAATGGTACCACATCAACTGTTGCGAAATCCGAGTTTCAGTCCAATGATTGCACCGACACGACTGCTGCCATTATGGTGGGGACGTTTACACCAACCCGCACGGGGAATCACTACCTCGGCTTCTCTACCGTTGGCAACACTAGCGTTTTCATTAACGGCGAACCTGTTTTCGAGTATGAGGGGAACTGCCCCGATGTCATGGCGTTCCTTTTGGGTACAGCCGCCGAGGAAAAGAAACAATACCAGTTCATGGCCGGGAAGGAGTACAAAATTCGCGTTGAAGCCAAATCGGCGCAGGATACCACCAGCGGGCTCGTGACCTACGCTTCCAATATTGTTGGCTTCAATGTTGGCTTTATGTATGAAGACGAGCACGACGCCGATCTTCTTTCCGAAGCAGTCGCAGTGGCTCGGTCATCAGACATCGCTATTGTTTTTGTTGGGAATACCCCAGAGTGGGAGACCGAAGGAGCTGACCGAGAATCCATGAATTTACCTCGTGATGGATCGCTTGACAAACTTATCCAAGCCACCGCCAGGGTTAATCCCAAGACAATTGTCGTGAATTTTACAGGAACTCCAATCACCATGCCATGGCTTGCGGACGTATCAGCCGTTCTTCAAGCCTGGTTTCCTGGACAGGAAGCCGGTCATGCCGTTGCTGATATCCTTTTGGGTACGGTCAATCCAGGCGGCAAGCTTCCTGTGACATTCCCCAAATCCATCACAGACAGCCCAAGCTATGACAACTTCCCCGGTAACCTTGACACCTTGACAGTTTCGTACGAAGAGGGCGTCTTCATTGGTTATCGTCACTTCGATCGTCAGCCTGAAGCCGTACAGTTCCCCTTCGGCTTTGGCTTATCGTACACCACGTTCGAGATATCAAATGCGACTATATCCACCCAGCACATAGACCGACAGAATGACTTAGTCGTAACCGTGAATGTCAAGAACACGGGCCCTTTAGCGGGCACTGAGGTTGTTCAGGTGTATGTTGGCCCCAAAGAAGTCTCATCGCCCGTCAGTCGACCAAAAAGAGAGTTGGCGGGGTTTGCGAAGCTCAGTCTCCGGCCCGGGGAAAGCAAGCCAGTTTCAAGCTCCATCAGCAAGGACAGTGTGGCATACTGGGACGAAACAATCGATGCGTGGTCCGTCGATGCGGGGATATACGGGATCTATATCGGGAACTCCAGTGTGGACCTGCCCTGTCGACTGGAATTTGTGGTGGAAGATTCCTTTTCTTATAGGCCTTGAATTAAGTCAATTTAGCACATTGACATACAGGGATTCGGATACGAGTTCACCGCAAGGAACCCATGGGTTCATTCAAGTCTTGAGAATTTCCCTATTTACATGCCCATGAAAGAAAAACTGGCTGTGGCAATGGAGAATAGTTGACAGAAATAAAATCAAAAAAAAATAAATAAAAATAAATAAATAAAAATAAAAATATGTTTGGTATGCATATGATGATATCATAAAGGACGTTGTCTATTCGTGCAAGAGATACAGGGCTAGCATACGGTCCTTCAAAGGCCAGTTCGAAGATATCATACAAGATTCGAGTCAGAGATCTTTCCGGGAACGAATCTTGCCCACCCGCGTAATAGTAGACGCTCTGCTCTTCATCTAAAACTCAGCCAGCGACTTGTACATACATATCGGCCCAGACTTACTATTCACTGTCGGTACCATTCGATCTGGCGAAAAACAAGACGTTGGCGTCACCGACGTCTTGGTTGAGTTTAAGACGACATAAAGCTGCAGCGTTATTGCGCCAAGCGGGACCTCCCCCTGGCTGATGGCGGACCCACCCGCGACAGGGTCCAAGACCCCTCCCACAAACACGCAAGAAACCATCGTCGGCTTCACGGAGGACGATTTCGAACCCAACTGAAGCCGGAATAGGTATATAAAATATTACTTACAGAAAAAAAGTCCTATAGAACTATCTATAAAAAATACTTATAAAAGGATAAATATAGTATTTTAAGTTACTAATAGGCATACTGGTCCTTTTATAGAAAAAAAATCAGTAATCTATAAATATATATAGATTATTATAAATGTTACGGGACGGATGGATTGTGCTAATCAAAACGTGCCTTTGAATAAGAAGAAATAGCTGAGGAGCTATTTCATCTGTTTGTACGAAATTCTTTTATGTGTGCGCTAAGCTAGTGCTAGTTTAGTACTTAGTATGCAAGACCTCAGATACCAACTGATATCTGAAGCTGAGCTTTATAATAGGGTTTTAGTTCTATAATAAAAGCCTTTTTTTTTTAGTATCTTCTGCAGTTTCTACTTATATAAACAGCCGTCCAGGGTTCAGAGTAACAGTTCTGTACTTCAGCCTTTTTTAGATAATATTATAACTGGTTAGTAGGTAGTATATATATAGGCAAGGCCTGTATTACTTATTATAGCTCTTTTTTCTATATAAACCTCTTCTATCCAGTAAATACAGTAATTTTTTAATAAATAGAATCTTTTTTTTCTGTACGTTCTTCTTTTATCCAGTAAATAGAATTTTTCTTTGTACTATTTATATAACTAGTTTTAAGAGTGTGGTTAGGCTTAGCTACTAGTATTATATAAAGTATATAAAGTACTATATAAAAAAACTACTCCCCCCCCTCCTTAGCTTTTTTTTTTATATATTTTTTTTTATTACCAATCTGTTTTTCTTATATCTGTATAATTTCTGTTATTTTTTTTACTTATTAATATTATACTTTCTTCTTCTAACGCTGGGGCTGGTAAGTCTGATTATCCAGATAATATACTAGTTCCTATTTATTATAATCTTTTTTAGGTTTTTTTTACTTTTGCTAACTGTAATTTACTTTTTTTATCTGTATAATATATAATTATTTATAACCCCTATACTGGTGATATAGAGTGCTGGGTTACTATACAACCAATAGTATATAGTAATAAAGTCTTACTCTAACTTTATTATACTCCAGATCAGCAGCATGTTGTTGCGGGACGGATGGATTGTGCTAATTAAAACATGCCTTTAAACAAGAAAAAATAGCTGAAAAGCTATTTCATCTGTTTGTATAAAATTCTTTTATATGTACGCTAAGCTAGTGCTAGTTTAGTACTTGGTATATAAAATCTTAGATACTAACTAGTACCTAAAGCTAAGCTTTATAATAGGGTTTTAATTCTATAATAAAAGCCCCCCCCTTTTTTTTTAGTATCTTCTGCGGCTTTTATTTATATAAATAGCTGTTTAAGATTTAAAGCAACAGTTCTGTGCTTTAGCCTTTTTTAAATAATATTATAGCTGATTAGTAGGCAGTATATATATAAATAAGACCTGTATTACTTATTATAGCTTTTTTTATATAAACCCCTTTTATCTAGTAAATACAGTAATCTTTTAGTAAATAAAGTTTTTTTTTCTGTATATTTTTTTTATCCAGTTAATAAAATCTCTTTTTATACTATTTATACAACTAGTTTTAAAAGTATGGTCAGGCTTAGCTACTAGTATTATATAAAGTATATAAAGTACTATATAAAAAGGCTACTCCCCCTTTTTTTAGCTTTTTTTTTATATATCTTTTCTTTATTTTTTTATTACTAATCTGTTTTTTTTATTTATATAATTCCTGTTATTTCTTCTGCTTATTAATATTATATCTTTTTCTTCTAATACTGGGGCTAGTAAGCCTAATTATCTAAATAATATACTAATTTTTATTTATTATAATCTTTTTTATATTTTTTTTAATTTTACTAACTGTAATTTGCTTTTTTTATTTATATAATATATAACTATTTATAACCCCTGTACTAGTAATACAAAGTACTAGATTACTATATAACTAATAGTATATAATAATAAAATCTTACTCCAACTTTGCTATACTTTAGATCAGCAGTATATTTAGTATTTTTTTTATTATAAATTTAAAATAAAGATCGGTGCTTTTACTGTGGCTTAGATAAAAAAATCTAATAGTATTTTTATATAAAATACTAATAGAGTTAGATACACACCGGGCGCCTTTTTTATATTAACAGCCTTTTAATTATATCCTGTGGTTTGGTAATATTATATTATTATAAATATAATAATTAGATAAAGTTCCGGCAGACTGTATAGCTGTTTAAATAATAAAATAAAGTCTATACAGACTGTAAGTTTAAAAATTATAGTATATATTATAGCTATTATAATCCAGATAAGTCTAAATATAAGCCTTCAGTAATTACTGTTTTTTTTTTAAAATATTATTAAAAAATTAGTAGATTAAATTAGTGTATAAGCTGAATTTAGTATAGTAGTATCTGATTTTTTTATTAGATTAAATACAGCTCTTTTTAGTTAGTTTTAAAAAATTTAAAAAGAGCTTCTCTTTTCTTTTTTTTTTATTCCTTTTTTTTTTTATCTTAGATTTGTACAAACCAGAGCTGAGGGGAAAAAATATTAGTATTAGTTTTTTTTTTATTTTAGCTTTTATTTATTTAATAGTTAGTTAGAGTTTAGCTGGGGCTACAGCTGCTATTATACAGCTGCTTTTATATTATTAAATACTAAGGCTGGTTCTTAGATTAGTTTTATATAGTTTTTTTATTTAATAAAATACTATAATTGGCTCTTCCGGCCTTTTATTATATACTATTTATTAAAAAATTTTTTAATTTTATATTCTTTTTTACTGTTAACTATTATGGGCGGTGGTTGTAAGTTTTTTTTATTTTATAACAGTAATATATTATAAGCTATTAGACAAAGTAGATTAATATAAAATATAGAATAAATATTTTTTAGTATATTAAATTATACAGTACATAATCCTATTCTTTTTAAAATAGTGTATTTTATATTTTTTTAATCTAGCTTTTTATTAGGGTGATTTATATAGATATTCTGTAGACTTAATTATATCTAGTCGCCCTTTTAGTACAACAGAGCAGCTTATTAGAATTAATTAGCCTATTTTTTAGTATTTTATTATATATAGGCTATAGCATTTTGGGCCCAGTTTAAAGTATTATATATCTTTTATATAATTATATCTTTTTATTAAATAGGGCTGGAGGCAGCAACCTCCAGATCTATATTTTAAACTATTTTCTAACTGTTTAGATTTAACTTATAACTATAGCTTAAGAAAAACAGTAAGAATTTTATAACTATATTTATATAGCTGTTAATTGCCAACTCTGCTAAAGGTAGTAGATTTATCTAGTTTTTTTAGTTATAGTCTGTATAAGCTTTTAGATATACTTTAATAGTATTATTTATATATTTTGTTATTCTGTTTATTTAAGAATAATAGGCTGTAGATAGTCTTCTAGTAATCTTTAGTAGATTATATATTCTTTTTTATATATAATTTATAAACTGGATGTCTTAATCTAAGACTATAGTTTTTAGAGGACTGTATTATCTAAAAATTATTTTAACTAGGGCCTAGAGTGGCTTAACCTGACCGTTATACCTTAACCTTAACCTGGCCATAACCTGGCGGTCAGGTTAAGGTATAAAAAATTTTTAACCGTACAGTTATAGTCAGGTTAAGATATAACTATTACTTTAACTGTTTATATCTGTAGGTTAGAAAGATTAGGTATAGTAGATAGATTAATAACTGCAGGTTAATTTATAATATATACATCCCCCTTATATAAATAATATATAAAGTATAATATATTTTTAATTATAGTATAGTAATATTTTTTAGTTTTAGTCTATCTGCTTTACCTACTTTACCTGCTTTATCTAATTGACCTGCTCTATCTAATTAACCTGCTTTATTTAATTAATTTAATTAATCTAATTAATCTGTTCTATCTGCTCTACCTGCTCTACCTAATCAACCTGTGCTATATATTCTATCTAAAAAATATACTATACTTTATAAAAGACTTTTATAGAGCCTAGTATAAAAAAATAGTATTTATTATTAGATATACTAATAATATTATACTACTCTTTATACTGTCCAGAACGGTGATTATAATAATATAAAAATTATAAAAACTAGGTTTCTATCTCTATCTAAGTATATATAATATTTAAAGACTTAGATAAGGCTGGTTTCTCTATTACTAATAATAATCTATCTTTAGAGTTATTTTTAAGATTATCTATATTTTTATTTTTACTAATATAGAAAATAGTAATCACCTTATCCTCCTCTTACTTCTTAGGTGTAAAGATAATTAAGTCTGGATTAAGATTATTAAAAATATTCTAATACTTCTTACTAATAGTAAAATAATTAGTATAT